AGCAACTTAGACACATCAGAGGCATGCAACCATCCTGATTCTAGTGGTACATGGCAGGGAGGACTACAGTAATGCCTAACAAGGCTCACCCATGGTATCATTGTTCCTACAGTCACAGCAGAGTGGCCACATGTTTTTTTCCCCTTTAATTGATGACAGTCCTCTGAAGAGCTACTAGAGAACAGTCTTGTTTTGATTGTGTCCACTATTTGAATAGCTGTCTGCTCAAAATCTGATTTAAAGAGGAAGTGATGATGATGATGATAAGAAGAACAGGGACCTTGAAGTTGTTAGATACCATCCATTTTCTTCTGACTTATGGCAGTCATATGTGCTTGCAAGTTTGTTCCAATTTATGGTGAGCCTAGGGTTTTAAAGTATAAATTACTCAGAAATTGTTTGCTAATCACTCTTTGGGGCACTCTGGGACCATACAGCTTGCCCAAGGCAGCCCTGGTGGCAGGGCACTTAATCCCATCAACTGAGCAAACTCCAAGTGATATTGGAGTGATAGTCACTCCCAGGAGACACAGCACAGATTCAGACTCCCAATCTCTGGTTCCGCAACCAGGCACGCTTATCCACTGAGTTATACCAGCTCTGTGAATTAATTTTCTCCAATAGTTTCTGTAATAAAACAGACTTGCACAGGCCTTGCAAACCTGCAATTTGAAAACCCAACTGCAATTTACTAAGAAAGTTATGACGTCTTAGCAACGTATGGCAGCCACTTCCAAAAATGCCAAAATGTTGCTGATTCCTTTGGCTGAAAAATGCAGGTAGTCAAGCCCTTGGAAAGCTACAATTTATGGTGGGCACACTTCCTTTGATGGAAGGAGTAACCATTTTTGTAGACAGCTAAAGATTATTGTAAAGTTCCATACTGTAAGGATGCTGTTTCTTGTATTTTTATGGATTCATATCAAAGGTATTCAGTTGATAAACTTATGAAAATTAACTAATGATAATGTGTCAGAACTTGCTTACATGTTAAGTGTACAATATGTAAATCAGCTGGCAAGTTTTTTAACATTGTATTTGGAAAGGAAAAAAAAGAACTTAGTTACTGTACTTTTAAATATAATTCCATACAAATGGGCCAGATGTGTTCATTCCAGGTTTTTTAAAATGTAGAGAAAGAAATTGTTATGCACCATCATGTTGCTTTTGACGGAGTGGCCCCAGTGGGGTTTTCAAAGTGTGTGAGTGAGTTTCCATGGCTGAGCAAGGATATGGACTCAGGTCTCCTGCGTCCAAGTTCAGCATGCTCTCCACGACACCACAATGGCTCTAGAGAAAGAAGAGGGTTCCTTAAAACTGAAATAACAAGCAGACAATCTGTCAGTAAGAATAGCCTGGAAACTTATTTCCTTGTAATATCACCTTTAGCTATAATACATTTTAAGGGACGTGGTGGCGCTGCGGGCTAAACCGCAGAAGCCTGTGCTGCAGGGTCAGAAGACCAGCAGTCGTAAGATCGAATCTACGTGACGGAGTGAGCGCCCATCTCTTGTCCCGCCTCCCGCCAACCTAGCGGTTCGAAAGCATGCAAATGCAAGTAGATAAATAGGGACCATCTCGGTGGGAAGGTAACAGCGTTCCTTGTCTAAGTCGCACTGGCCATGTGACCACGGAAGATTGTCTTCAGACAAAACGCTGGCTCTGTGGCTTGGAAACAGGGATGAGCACCGCCCCCCAGAGTCGAACACGACTGGACAAAAAATTGTCAAGGGGAACCTTTACCTTTACCTTACAATATATTTTAAAAGAATGTCTTTTCCTGCAAGAACAAAAGTAAATTTTAAAATACCCTCACCTTTTATTTGCAGCTTCAGCTGTAATGATTTGTTAGTTTTATCATGGAAAATTCGGCCAGGCTGGAGTCCCCATGTTTTTTTTGGGGGGGGCATCACCTTTGCATATAATTTTATACAGTATTCATATGTTAATACAACAGACTCATGGCAGCTGGGAATAAAAGGCTTCTAACACTAATATACAAGCTGCTACTGCCTGCTAAAATTGGATTTTGTAATGTACATGTCCTCTGTTATGACTGAATGCTTAAGTTTTATCCTCATGTGAAGCATGGGAATTGAAGAAAGAATCATACCACTTCCTAACTATCATGCTACTCAGCATTTTAGTGAAGCCACCCAGACAGTAATTTAAATCAGCCAAGCAAATTTGGTCTACCTTGTGGGAGGGAAACTAAAGTTTTCCCCCTTGCAAATAGGCCTCCAAGTGCCCTTTCTTTGTCTCACAGTTGTAATTCCCTCTTGTCTCTGAGGAACAAGTGATTAAGCTATCAGTCAAAGACTAAGGGTGATGATATAGCTAACCTTTTCTTTTTTTAATTACATTTTGGTAAAATAAACTATTCCACATATGGTTATGTATTGTCAAACTAGTTGCCTCACGTTCTGTAACACAATATACTGTATAATATGCCTATGATTGCACCTCCCCCCCTCAATTTCCTGGTATTTCAATATCAGCCAAGTGCATATATGTGTAGGTGTATGCCTATATATGTGCAAGCACAAGCATTCTCATTCCCTTTTTTAAAAACGTGTATCAAACAAAAGGTATCCAAAGTAAAATGGGAATTGAAGAAAGAATCATACCACTTTAAATTAAAATAAATAAATTAAATAAATAAATTAAATAAATAAAATAAAACGGATAGTGTTCTTAAGTTTGTTTGGGAGCTGGTTGTGGCTCAGATGGTTAACTGAATTGTGAGTTTTATCACAATTAACGGGGATGTTTGAAAAAGTAGTTTCAAGAGGCATTGTGTCAGCCACACATTTTATCTGTATTACTGAATATTATGATATTTTATTAGCGCTTCAAATATGTCCAAAGTGTACATTCTCAGGAATTTAACAGAAGAGGCTGTTATATTGAGAAGTGACTCTTGACTCTTGCAATGGTTCCTGAATCCTTTCCTTTCACACAGCTGGATACATGGGTTGATTCCAGCCTTTGGTATGTGCATTTATACTGGCTGAAGCAGATTTTTACCCCTCCCTCCAAACTTGCCCCACATGCTCGAAGAAGGCTGCAGAACCCCACTTAATAGCAAAGGATCTGGTGCAGGTGAAGGATCCTTCAAAAACCCAGTGAAGGCAACCTCTGCAAGTTGAGCCCATCTTCCATGCTCACCAGGCCCTAGATGCAATCCAGGAAAGCAATAGTCCTGCAATTGAACCATTTGTAAGATATATGTATGTATAAGGAATAATAGTGATGAATCTGTCATAGATAATGTCCGGCGTCTTCTTGCAAAGTTCTGCTTCCAAAGTAGAAGTCACATCATCAGCTGCTCATTAAGTTTTTCGAATTCAAGGTGTGCCTGATTTCATCTCATTGTGTGTAAGTTCCAGATCCCCCAAAATTGAATGCAATCTGCCAGTGAAATAATTCCTGCTGTGTAGGTGGAGCTCTGCAAGATGAAACTTGTAAATGTTTATTTTTATATATTCAGAGCATTTGTATATGATTAAAGACAATAAATAGCCAACAGCAGATTTTAAAACACATTTCAATAAAAATCCTAAATTGCAGAATAAAATAAACTATTATTAAAAATTCAGTCTAAAATACCAAAAAGTCCTGGGAGAACTAACCAGGTTATGTCTGGTGCCAAAAGAACTAAAAATGTAGGTAGCAGGTCTCCTTGAAGAAGGAGTTTCACAAAATGGATGCCAGTCAAAAGTGTCTCTCCTTAGTCTTCCACCATAATCTTTGGAGTTCAGGAATTCTTCAAAGAGAACACCAACAGATGACCTTAAGTTCTAGCTGGGTCACTATGGGAACTGGAATTCTGTTAGATATCTGAGATCCATGCTGTTTAAGACAATGAAAGGTAAGCACTAACACACTGAATTGGGGTCTGAAACGTATTAGAGGCCAGTGATGTTGCTTTAATATGGAGTTAAATGTTCCCAGAGGGGTGTCCTGGTTAAATGTTTGTTACCTGAACCCTGTACAGCAGCATGTGAATGGATTTCAAGGACACTCCTATCTGAATGTGTTGAATTAGATTTTTTACAATAAAGCTACCCCACTTGGAGCATATGAAAGCAAATGGTGTACAAAGTAAATCTGTCAAATAAACAGCCTGAACAGGCCTAAGCCATTTGTGACCATGGCTGAGAGGTACGAAGAGTCACAAATGATAATACACTGCCAAGTTGTCAAAACCACCAAAGCACTTGGAAGACCCACTTAGACCCAGGCCAAGCATCACAATATTAATTCACTTTCTTACAGGCTACACAGTTTAGAGTCTCGAGATATGTAGTCCTCAGCTAAGTGTGTAGAAGATGTGCAGACTTGCTACGTGCTGGGCCAGTTCAGGCACCAGGGTTAGCTATGGTTTAGTACCACATAAATGACCATGCACCAACCTTGGGCTCTCAAGTACTCCCCCTCCCCTCCTCTGGTGTGGTCTTGAGAAGAAGTTGGAAGCATCTACTTATGCTTTTGAACTAGTTAGGTTTTCCTAACTAGTTCAAGCAAAACAAAAAGGGAAAGGAGGGGGAAAGAGGGCTGTTCTTTAACAATCCTAAAACCATGATTTAAAATCATTCAAAGGCACACGTTTCCTGCAAGCATATATTCCAGCCAGAAGGAATTCACTCTTGAGCCCTGCAGCTCAATGATCTGAGAGCAGGAGGGGTCCACCCTACCGTTTCAGGATGAGGTGCCATCTCTCCTCCAGTCATGGACTGCCTGTGCTTTCAGGTTTGGCAATGAAGCCATAGCCAATTATCCCTCGTCATATTTCATTTTCTGATGCTTGTATGGCTTATTTTCCTGACACTGATGGCTCCAGTTTTTCTCAGTCCTGAGGTTATTTACACTGGGGAGCAGCCTGTTCTTTGTCATTTACTTAAATTCATAAACTGGTAAAGGTGACATTTGCTGCATCAGTATGGCAAATTGAGGAAAATGTATGCTATTTTGTCCTGGATAAATAAGAAAAGCATTGATGAATAAATACAAAGCTTTTGTTTATTAAGAAGTTATGTAGCAATAAAGAAACACCATTTCCTAAAGCATGACTGTGTGTATGCATCATGTTTAAATATCAGATGGTGCATTTTGAGAGGGTTCCATGCATTTTCCAATCATAACATACCAGAATGTAAATGGAAGTTTTGCTGTAGCTATTTTCTGTTTCCCCTACTGCTGCTACTGTTAGCACAGTTTTCCCAAAGGCTAACCAGTGGGTTATAGAGACAGCCATCTACTGTAATGGAACCAGGAACCAAATCCACATTTACAGGCATCAAATGGAGACCAACAATAAATATAGTCTTTAATTTTAGCTAAGAGCAGGATATGTGTATTTGAAATCATCTCCTAGCTTGCACAAACAGGTTGAAAATTGTTACTCCAGAAGTTCAGTAAACAAGGAAACAAGATCCTGAACCTCATTCAAAGCTCTTGCTCATTTACATTCCACTGATTTCAAAAGATTGCAATCTAATATCCCAGCTACACATGAATCAGAAACAAAACAATTACAAAGCAAATTCCTGTTTTCAGACTATACGGTTCTTCTGAAAGACAATGCTGCTCTATATTTTAATACTCAGTATAATCTCAGCCATCTACTCACAACAGTAAATCCTAAGAGGCCATTTTGGTAAGAAAGACAGCATGCAAAATTTCGTGGGGGGGGGGGAGAAAGATAATTAATATAAGTCATAGTGTGGATTTTAAAAATTATGTCTTAAAACTAAGCAGAAAAGAGAAAGCATAGCTACTTTATGTATAGACAAAAGCTTTATGTAGATAGAATGTTATACATTCATGTTAGCCCTCTTACACACACACACGCACACACACACAAACATACACACACAGAGAGAGCCTACTTGGCACTTTGTTCTGCAAGAAGGAGAGACTACAGACTTTCCATCACAAATAGAACTTCAGAGATTTCAGAGTCCTGCAAGGGATGGTTCCCAGCTCGAGGGGGACAGACCAAGAATAATTGTTCTTCTCTTTTCAAGAGAGCTGCTTGTTAGCGCATTTTATATTCATTAGATATTGAAGTTTCACACAGCTGCCCTTTAAAATCCAAATCTACTGTGAAATCCAGGTCACGCTGTAATGAAGATTCAGAGATAAGATGTTGTAGTACGTTAGTTACTATAGTAATGTAGGGCAGTATAGTGTTTAAGAACTAAAAAGCCTCTAGGTCAGAATTTCCCCCAGCTGTAAGATAGCCTTAGGCAACTTTTATAAAATGGGCAGGAATAATAAATATGTCACAGGAGGTGTAAATATTACTTTAACAGCAGCCTTATTCAGGTGTCATAGAATCTAGTGGTTTGAACTTGCCTCCATCATCACTTCTAACACTTGTTTATTGCGAAGTCTGAAGAGTAAAGATTCCCGTTCCAGTGTAGGATCAATGAAGATGCTAAAATCCAGGAATATATGAGTTCTTGTTCCCATAGAAACCCTACACACATCTTCTCTTCAGATTTGGCAATGATGCCATGAAGAAAACAGTAATGGAGCAGGTGAATGGGTCTAAATAATGTACTCCTTTTTATATGTGCTCAAGCTACTGGTTTCTGTAATACTTGAACCACTCATTAGTTCTATGTAATAATAAAGATATTACATGTCATCTGTATTTCAGTTTTGCCTAGAAAGACATACACATTTGCAGAAAGTTGTGAGTTTGAAAGAATCCACAACAATCCTGTGCCAGGGATGCATGTATACTGTAAGGTTCATATTTTTGCTCCCATGGTTTCTAGGCTCCAAGAAATCCCCTTACGAGCCTTTTGTATATTTTAGATGTTCCTCTTCAGGCTATCAGGAGGGTGGGGGTGAGAATGGGAATCAGCACTATGGTCAGCCCAACCATCTTCAAAAGTCAGGGTTCCCTTACACACAGGTAGAACTGATGCACATCAACAACTTAAAGGGACATCACCTCTATTTGAGGTCATGCACAATCACAGTAATTGCTTACTGTTGGAATTATGACAACTCTGTATGTTGCCTTTAAGAGCTTTTGGCTGGGAGGGATATTTCTGGACTGGGGTGACTGTCAAACAATCCAATAGCAGCTAATTGTTCCCTCTTTGCCTCAGAATTTTGAAGAGAGCTGTGCCTTTCTATTCAAGAATTTTTTCCTTGACTTTTTTCAGCCAGACAGCCTGAAAGCAAACCTATGTAGTCAGTCAGCAAGTCATGATTTTAGTCATAAAGCTAGCTAGTCAGTTAAACTCTGTTTATGTAACCAGTTAATATTTTTCTACAGAATGCAGTTTATTTTTAATCTATTCGAAATGTGAGTAAAACGGAACCTTTTATTCTTTTCTCTTACCAGTGTCCCTGAATGAGTTGTTGAGACAATAAATGCCAGTTGAGGTAGACTAACCAATAAGGGTTAGTCTACTGGGAGTGAGGAGACTTAAAGCTAATTCTGCTCTTTAGGGACCTGATTTTTTTCTGCTTCATAGCTAGAGGTTATTTAGGACATAAAAATTTCATACTCTGCCACAAAAGCATCTGCAGAGCTTTTATGAAGGTCAGCTCTTTCTCCCCATATCAGCTAGGCTGTTCTGGAATTCTGCCTACAAAAAATACTACCACTCTGCTAGCCATTTGGAGGGCATGTGGCTGATTTTCAGAGTAAGGGGGTATGCCATAATTAGGCATTCAATTTATGTAGTGTTATCTGTTTTCCTTTTGTTTTAACTTTATTTCATCCCTGCCTTGGCCTGTAAATCTGACTGTGTGCCTGGTACCACTGAGTGTGAAGGAGGCAATAAAGAAAGTGCAAAATGTTCTAAATTAGTCAACGGATAGTCCTAGCCAATCATGATTTATATGGTGGCAATGATGACTCCACAATTGTACATAACTTAATTAATGTGGCTACTGACTGACATTAGTGAAGAAAAAATGTTTACAATATTGATGTGACTTCATCCACTTTGGGATCGGCTATATTAAAAATATCTGGTACAGGATGTGAAAACTGTTAAGGTTTCTAAAATCTCCCTCCTTTCCACTCAGCTCAGAGTGTGACTACACTGCAATTTACCCTGTGGTGTGTGCCAGGGTTGGCATGGTTAAATTCAATGTGTTTTCTGTTATCTACATGATGGGCAGGTAATCATGAGTGAGCCCATTCTTTCTTCGTGGCTGTTTGTTGCTTTTTGTTTAGCCAGTGAGGCCCAGTGTTTTGGGTTTTTTGGTAGCTATTCATTTCACGTTGTCCTGCATCCCACCCCAATTTCTCGTATATGTGATTACCTATATTGGTGCAAAGGGGAAGTGGTGGGCATCCTGCATCCTGGTGGGCTGTCTTTTTTTTAAAAGCGACACAGCACAGAACTGATATAACAAGTTATGAAACTTCAGTGCTTATCTGACAGTGCTATGCTGGAAAGCACAACAAAGAAGTGTTTGGAGGAGAGATAAGAGACACTGACTTTTGTTTTATTTTTATCATTCTACTTTCCCTTTACTGGGAAAATGATGCAAAATTTTCCTCTCTGGCAGGAGGATGCAGTGCATGCTAAAGACAGATATTCTCCTACACAGCTCCACTTTGTATGTGATAAAAGTATCCTTTTCACTTTCTATAGGTTTCTGTGCTGGATTTAGAAATTTATTTTATTTATTTATTTATTTAATTTATATGCCGCCCACACTACCCAAAGGTATACAGTGGTGCCTCGCATAGCAAGGTTAATCCGTTCCGGATTAACCCTCGCTATGTGAAAACATCGCTGAATGGAACATAAAAACCCATTGGAATGCATTAAACATCATTTAATGCGTTCCAATGGGCCCTAAACTTACCGTTCAGCGAAGTTTCCTCCATAGTGGCAGCCATTTTCGCGCCCTCAGTAAGCGAGGGGAGGGCGTGAAAATGCTGCGCGCGGCCATTTCGGGCATCCGGCGGCCATTTTAGAACCGCCGAACAGCTGATCCACGGGCATCGCAAAGCGAAGATCGGTAAACGAAACACTTACCGATCTTCGCTATGCGAGTTTTGCCCATTGGGACGATCGGTATGCCTCCGCATTAGCGATCCCGAAAAGGGGATCGCTATGCGGATTCGTCATTGTACAGTGCGCTTGTTAAGCGAGGCACCACTGTATATGTAGTCCCAGAACTACAGCAATAAAAATGAATATGTATATGAGGTCCAGGTATTATTTCAAGTCCCTTTGATTCATTAATATATGAGTGGGAAATGCCTGCTAAAAAGCTGCTCCAAATTAGTCACCTCAATGCGAATAACTTACCTCATTTTTTTCATTTGGTTTCATGGATATGGTTCCATAGATTTCTTCACCTCTTCTTACAGTTAGGTAGTCCTCCAGGTAGAACACTGTTTGCTTCCAATGGGTATAAGGAGCATCTGGAGCTACAAAAGGAGACAGATTTATCTTCTCTCTGGAATTATCAGTGTTCAAAATTCTGATGCACATTACACTATTTTTAGAACCAATTAGACAGATGAAATAACTTAAAAGCTATATTTGATACAACCCAGTTTTCATAGCCCATTGTCTGCATATGTGAAATGAGGATGATCTAATATTTAACTGGAGATATGCAGGTCTCCCTAGCAGTTGACATGATCATGCCTAATCACCTTCTTTCCATGTGCAGACCTCAGGGGGTATCTTGGTGCACATCTACACTGAAGGCAATTATGCTCATGGGACATAACACACTGACAGGCAATTTGCGCTAAATCTGACCAAACATATCTTGAAAGCTCACCGTGAAGCTCCCTATGTAATTTCTAACCACTATCACCGGTTTTACCGGTTTTCCCCGAAAATGAGACAGGGTCTTATATTAATTTTTGCTCCCAAAAATGCACTAGGGCTTATTTTCAGGGGTTGTTTTATTTTTTTTTTAATGTACAATTCTCTACATTTATTCAAATGCAGTCGTGTCTTCTTCTTCTGGTTGCCGCACGATGCTGCCAAATGGTGGAGGGCAGGGTTTCACTTAACTGGGGCTTATTTTTGGGGCAGGGCTTACATTATGAGCATCCTGAAAAATCATACTAGGGCTTATTTTCGGGTTAGGTCTTATTTTGGGGGAAACAGGGTAGTATCTGTTCTTCTGTCCCACATCCCCTAAATTTTTTAATTTAAATGAATGTCCACTAGAGGGTGGAGTGGAGCTTTTTCAGTTTATAACTGATTTTTCATTTAACAAAAACCCATTATAGCAAGCTTTATAGTATACCAATACTGCATTAGTTATTAAAAACTAAACAACATATATACTCGAGTATAAGCCAACCCAAAAAAAGGCCGAGGCCCCCAATTTTACCACAAAAAACTGGGAAAACTTATTGACTTGAGTATAAGCCGAGGGTGGAAAATGCAGCAGCTACTGGTAAATTTCAAATATAAAAATAGATACCAATAAAATTACATTAATTGCGGCATCAGTAGGGAATTTTTTTTGAAGATACTGCCCTTCTGAGCTGCGAGACACACTTCACTGCCTGCGGAGGGAGGACTCATAACGGATCCTGCCCTTATCTACTGCTCTACTGCTGCGTTACAAGATGGAGGGAAACAGAGGATGGAGGAGGAAGGTGGGTACATAGAATGTGCAGAAGGAGGAGGATGGGAGTGTCCTGGAAGTGGAAATGCAGTGTACTTAACCCAGGTTATTGGATCAACCACAGAGGCTGCAGGTGCCGTAGATGAGCGGGGGAGTCTGGAGAACACGCACAGTGCAGGGGAGAACATGTAATTTTGACACTGACTCGAGTATAAGCCGAGGGGGATGCTTTTTCAGCAAAAAAAATTGTGCTGAAAAACTAAACTTATACTTGAGTACATACTGTAATAATAAATCAATATGCAAATTAATCCCTTTAGTCCTGCCTCTTGGTAGTGCAACACTTAGGCTGCCAGCAAATCTGAAAAATGGCCCTCCCACTGAGATCTCCCACCCTTGATTTAAATCTTCAAATGTTAATTTTGAGTTGGGTTCAGACATGTGCTGGCAAATGGTGGGACCAGTATAACATAGGTGTCAAATCACCTCACCATCTAGGACCTACTAGTACTTCAATAGCTACATTTTGTATCAGGTAAAATTTCTGGAACATCTTTAAAGCTAGCCCATGGAGAACTCAGATAGAGCAGTAAGGCTCAGTGTGCCAAACTATATGCTTTTTATTGGTTAGAGTAAGAATCTGGTTGGTACACTGCTGGCGACATACATTTTTAATGAAAACAAAAAGTGAGCTTTTAAATTTACGTTTCATTTTGGAAATTCTTCCTGTTCTATACACAGCAAAATATGGTCTATTGGGGCCTCACTGCAAATTGCTGGCTATGTATCTAACCAGATGTCTTAACTCATGCCCTGCCACTCTGAAGGACACTAAGTCTTCAACTTTCCACAACAGCTTGAACCCAAAGGAAAATACTTAACTGAAGAAGAAAAGGAGGAGAATGGAACATTGAGTGATTAGCTGAGCAATAAAAATTAGCATCAGACTGAGGTAAAAAGGTGATGTGAAGATAAGCCCCTCCGGCTGCAATAAGGAGAATGGCTAAAGAGAGCCCAGCCTAGCCAAGAAACCTGGTAGGATAAACCAATCAGACAAGACAGCAAAGAGGTATGTACGTCCTGAATACACAATATAATGCCCAGCTGGAGCAGAACAGGGTCTTGGTGCACTGAATTTTCCATAACCCAGAGACTGCTGAATTGACCCTTTTCAACTCCATTCCCTCCACCTACCAGCATTACATGCCTACCAAGAGGTGAAGGACCTGTTACAGAAATCGACCAGGGGTTAATTATCCACTTGTCCACGAAAAGCTGCAGGTAGAAAATCAAGAGTGCAAACTTACCTGTAGAAAATCCCATTTTCTTATGGCACTTGGTAAATTCTATATTAAAATATGTGACCAAGGCATGAATATAGTCATTGCGCTGAATCTGGAGACAAAATGCAGAGGTGAACGCCAGTTCCTCCAGCTTCACTGTATAAATATCCACTTCCTATGTTGAGGTGGGAGGAAGAGAAAGAGGCCATTTAGAGGACTCAGAATAAATTTACCCAGACAAAAAAATAATTTTCTTTTTTTTTAAAAAATCTGCTATATTATTTAGAATAGCAAGAACCAAATGTTTTCAAATAACAGTCTCAAACTGAACAGGGAATGTTGGTTGCATTGTTGAAATCTCAGAAAAAGATGCATTTTAAATGTAATTATGCTGTTACGTTTTTTTCATGGAGTTTCAAGAAATGGTCCTGCTTTGTCGTTCCCCCCGCCCTGTCAGAGGCTCATTGCAGTAGAAGAGAAGGGTATGGCCCCTTTCACGAAGAAACCATTTTTCTCCCATCAGTTCAGCTCAGTCCACTCTGTTACTTTTATTTCCAATTTCCTACAGTGGTAGCCAAGTAGCCCAAAGATTAGGCAGTTGGGCCACAGAAAGGCATAACACAGGGAGATCAGATAGAAGATAACGTGTAAGAGAATTTGTATCACAAATTCTAATGAAATGAGTGATATGTGGCATAAGTTTGGATGATTTTTCTTTTAAATCTTAGCTTAAAATGACCTGCTGTCACAGGATCATTCCTCTCCTCATGAAAGGAGGGAGACATTTCTAGGACCTCGGCAGGACAAAAATAGTGGGAAACTTTTACAGACATCATTTGGATCTACAAGCTTCTCAGAGAAGAACATCAAAACTGGTCCAACTAACCCTGGAGAATTTGGAGGCAGCATGACAGCCAGTCCTGATGATACAGTGATGGCAAGAGATTTACTGTCAGCCTTCCCATCCCAGGTCATCTTCCCCAAATCAGTAGAGAAACACCATCTGACCTATGCCCATCCACATGCATCAAGCCTGTTACAATCCGAGATAGTCCCACAGTCATTATGCAGCCCTGAAATCCTGAGCTGACCAATTCAAGATGGTCCTGGCATGAATGCTGCCCAAGACCTAAAACCTCAAGACCATCAACATTACTTCTGAGACCATTTTCACCAACTTTGCTCAGTATTTTAAATACACTGTGCAATTAATGTAGCATGGATGTTGGAGAGTAGTGTGGTTTTTTTACCCCACACAGAACAACACTGAATTAACACAGAAATGTGTTAATTTCCCTATGGCTAATAGTTCTAGAACCTATATTCTATCTCAGGTGCTTAACATTCTGTACAGATATTCTAGATTGGAAGACTCTCAGACAGAACATCTAAGCAGCGACAGCAGATCTTGAAAGACTACTCATCCCTCTATCCTAACCTGAAACTGGGTCCTGCAGCACCTGGCTGCAAGATATGTCTGAGGGAAACATGCGGTATCCAGGTCATCCCAATATGTTTCTGTTATCCCATTCGGTTATTCCATTTGATGGGGACACCAGGACACGCCTTTTGTGTGGCTGCTCTCAGGTTGTGGAAGGCTGGTCCCCTTCCTTTTATCCTTCTGTCAACAGCTGAAGACCCACCTCATCAGGCAGGCTTTTAATAACTATAACTGAGTCCCTGAATGCTGCTTTTTAGCTGAGTAAGTCTGCTTTTAAAGTTTTAAATGTTTTAAATCAGTCAATGTATTTTTTAATTACCATTATCATTTAACTGGTTTTTAATGTGTAGTTTATTGTGTTTTTTATTTAATCTGTTTTAATGTTGTGAACCACCTAGCATCGCTTCATTGGGAAAAAGGCAGCTTACATATGATGCAAAAGAAAAATAAAAAAATAAATGAGCCAGATTGGCATGCTCTTCCTGTACTTGAATATGAACGTACTTCCATTTCATTCCAACTAGACATTTGATAGCAGTACTTTCAGGCTCCAGCAAAACCACAGTAAGGCCACCAATATATCAAGACTGGAGGATCGGCCTGAAGGGTGAAAGCATGTAGTCGATTCCTGCAACTTTTCCTTACTCAGTATATCAGGCTTCTGTAACTCAGGTGTGATTGCATGCTGGTGATTAGCTTTTAGAAAGAAAGCTGGACAAGCCTGTGCAGCTTATAAGTAGGGAAATGAGTGCTTAAGTTCATACTTTTAAATCACCAAACCTTTATTAAACAAGCATTGGTCACCACTTGCTTGGGATCTACAATGTCCACCAAGGGCTCCTTCATGGCAACATCCCTGATACAGGTCATGTCAAAGCCATATACATTCTCCCACCCTGTCAAAGCAAAAGGTAAGGTCAAAAGTCACAGGAAAATATTGGCAGTCCACACAAGTAACTTTGCAAAGTATGCTAATGTTAAGTGTGATGCATTTTAATCACGCAAAAAGAGGAAAATAAGCAAAAATAGAAAAGACGAGAAGAGAAAGTACAATTGAAGTATGTTGAAGATTCCAGTGTCTCGGGGTTAATTGCATTTCATGTTAAACATGTAGTATGAAATTTCATTTTTATACTGCTGTTCAAATGTGGAGTTCCCATCCTGACTGAGACCATTGTACATGATCTAGGAGTTGCTTCACCCATGTGTGATGGTCCTAATCCTAGGTCCAGAGCCCTATACTATACTATACTTCAGTGTAAAAAAGAAATTGGTCCTAAGCTGTACACTGTGTATTTAAAGTAACATGATTTTAAGTCTCTGACTCTGACAAAATGCACACAGTGGTACTTAATACAGGACAGCCCATTAAATATCATATCTGATGCCTGTCAAATCATATTATCTGCAGCCTAAAGCAGTACATTTTTAGTTAAAATATTAAAGTAAAAGGGTACATTTTAGATTCAGAATTTTTAAAATATTGTTAAGTGCTGAGCTCAAATTTTGTCAGTCAAAATTCAGTAAAGCTGCATGGGGTTTAAGCTGGGGGGGGGTAATAGAAATAAAAGCTCATTCCTAATGTATAATTCAGGCCATGTATAATTCAGACCATTAAGTGCCCTATTGGAGTGAGACCTATCTTAGAGGAAAGCATTGGTATCAGAGCAATACTTTCAAGATTTGTGTTATTTCTATCCCTCATTGTATCCTCTCGTTCCGGTTTGAGAAGATGTGATGGCGGATAGACTTGATGCTAGTCAGAACCCTCAGTTGTTGCACTATTGCCCTCCTACCTGCAGATCTGGTTCTAGAGAGTAGCCTTTGTAGATTTCAGTTCAGCCTCATAGCTCTTAGTCAATGGGTTCCAAATGGTTCCATTCTGTTTCCCCTTCTTTTTAACATCTGTATGAAGATGTTAGGTGAGATCACCAGGAACTTGTTGTCAGGTGCCATCAATATGCAGGCATGCAGCTGTATTTGTAAATTTCATAACAGTTGAGCAGGATCAATGCCTAGATGCTGCAATGGACTGGATGAGGGTCCATAAACTGACACTAAATCCTGATAGGACAGAAGATCTGTAGATTGGTGGTTCCTGGTCTGAGAACTGGGTAAGCAACTTGGCCTCAGTGGGGTTGCACTCCTGCTGAAAGAGCAGGTGCAGAGCCTGGGAATTCTCTTGAATCTCCATTGGAGGTCAAGGGCAACTCTATGGCTTAGAGAGCTTGGGGCCAACTTCAGCTGATCTGCCAGTTATGGGCTTTCCTGGACAGGGATAGCTCATGTACTGGTAACCATACCTGACCCTGTTACAGTTAGTGGCTAAAGTCCTGTTGCTCAGCATAGTAAGTCATAACTAGAGTAGGCCCAGTGGGGATTTGGGGAGTCAACTCTTCTGTAAGTTCCATTGATTAAAATAGGCCTACTCTAACTGATTTACTATATCAAGGAACATGATTTCAAACACAGTGTGACTTCTTGGTAAATTACTGCACTTCCGTTTTATATAATTTCTCTTCCTCTCCAAGCCAGAAATAGCCAAGACTCAAAACAAAATCTTTTTGAGAAGCTAGGAGGGAGGATGCCAGGCTGAAAACAGCCCATTGGTCCCTTTTTTGCTCTGGTTTATCAAACGTATGTTTTCAAATTAATATACAGACTGTGGCCTCGGGTGGGTCCATGGGGGTATTTCTGGGTGATAATTTCCCCTTCTAAATTCTTACTTCTTTACTTGTACTTCACTTAGTCTTTAAGCTTCTTTGTAAAAATATGCTGTGCCTTCAGGAGGTCTTATCAGCAAGAGCAGTGAAATTGGCTGTGCATACTCATTTCAGTGGTCGATTGTGCCCTTTTGTAAAGAATGAGTGCTAATATCTATGGATACCTGCCAAGCTGGCAAACCTCGGTAGCAGCTTCAAAGTTAGAGAGGATCAATACATTACCACAAAATGCAAAATGGTCTGTTTCCCAAATGTTCCCAAGCTGAGCTGCACTCATTGGCTCTTTGAAGCATTCAGATGACTGTATGGACTAAGTGCTTTTTCAGCTGCTGAATGTCGATCCTTGAACAAATAGTCCCTTAGGGTAAAGCACACACTGGCTCTGCACTTTTATGATAAAGCACGAAGAATAGTATACTTAAAAATACCTGCCCCTTTCATACACAAAGAAATCTCTTATATCAAATGAGTCATATCCCATTAAAGCACAGAATGCCCCATTATTTTCATTAAAAAAAAAAAAAGAACATTACAGGAATGTAGGCAGTAGTATAGACTGAGTAGAAGAATGGCTCTAAAGTTAGTGTGAGTATTTAAAAAATAACACTGCATGTGGAAGCAAGTGACATAAATTGGCATCCTGCAAAAGACAGGAAAGAAAGCTGTGACTGCTTTGTAGTGCATGGCACAGTGGTGGAGCTTTCTGTGCTCCCAGCAGGAACTTAGCGGGTACTTGCTTGTTAAAAGATTTCAATATTTCTACATTTCATCATTTGCAGCAAAGATTTTTTTTTCTCTGAAAACATTCTTTCTGGTTAGAAAGTTGCTATATTATCTCTTTGGCTGAGTTCTACCCAGGTTGGAGGCATGCCACCTACTGCCTATTTAGCTCCCATTAACAGCCCTGCTCAGATCTTGTGTGCTAAAGGTTGTGGTTTTCTGTAGTGAGTGAATCTATCTCATATTATATCTTACATTTCTGACATCTTCAAACTTCACACCACCTATTTTCCCATAATATGTATGTCCTGGAGGAAATATGGATACAGTTTGCCTTAAATCACAGGCAAAATTTCTGGTGAGTGAATGCCTCATTTTTAGTACGGTTAATGGATAGATCAGGTGGTTTGGTATCTATCTGCGGTGCCAGGGGCTGAGAGCTTTTTCCACAAGAAAAGCCAGCATGTAGAGCATTGGGCAAGCCGCATGGTCCCATGATGCCCCCAGAAGAAAGGAAGGGTAAACTACTACTGAGTATACATAGAAAACCCTGGAAAGGGTTGCCATTAATCAGAACTGATCTGATGACAAGTAATTATTATTATTTATTATTGTTGTTGTCTTACTAGTTGCATTTTGAAACTGTCTTTTGAGGAATCCTGGGATGAGTTCAAGGATTCCCCAGCAGTGATGGGCTCGGTCCCTTGAAAGGCATCTTGCTCCCAATTATCCAGTTTTCCCTGCAGTGTCCAATCATAGGAGAATGTTTGAGGCCTACTGGGAATCAGAGCATCATCTGCTCAGTTATGGATGGCTACAGCACATCATTATATTCCTTGACCTTGAAGAGTTTCTAGTTCTGCATTTGTTCAGAAGGTAGCCAAAGAAGTATTTCTCTGTATCAGAGAGCAGAGTTTGGGGAGGGACCTGGATGTGAGAAGATTTCCCAAATCCAATGTAGACTGTATGAGAATTTGGTGAGCTGACCACAAGTTCCACTGGATGGATCAGGCAGCAATCTGTGAGCTCATATGTGGGCACTGACTGGGTCGAAGTGCCAATGCATTTCCCTAGTTTCCATTTTGCAGCACAAGTGTTCCTTTTATTTCCTAGGAAAACAAAATCTGAAGCAGCATGTTCATTATTATAACTTCATAGGCATCCTTCAGTCTCCAGAGACTATGACAACGTTCTCTGTATGGAGGACTTGGAACAGCGTCTAGCGTTTTGACACTGTACACAAACCTGGAGTGTCCTCTCCAGGGCACGAAGCCTGGGTAAAATAATATGGAAGATAGGCTGTTACCCAACCGGCAAATCCCCCCTCTCCACATCACTGAAATGGTCCAATGGAAAGGCAAGAGCCAATACAACTGGTTCCAGCGACATTGCAGGAGTTGACAGAACGACACAAACTGTCTCCGGGACTCTGGCTCCAGATTTTACCTCGAGGTTTACTTCCGAAGCCTTTTCCATCAGTGGATATAGTCACAAGGCAGTGGAGGTTTGAAGTCGGAGTTTTCCTTCTCCTAGATGGGCTGCCTTCCAGGGCTGATGAGTCCCACCTACTCGGTTATTGTAACTTACATTTACTGAACATATATGTGTCTCAAAATTGGTGGTAGGTTCTCTTATTTTTACAAACACGTTGATAAAGGAGAAATGGGGGCATCTTTTTTTCAGTGGTTATACAGTGATTGCATGTATAATCTCTCTTTCCTTCTCTAGTTTCCAGTCACAATTGGCTTCAATTGCCTTTGGAAATGCCAAACAGCTAAATATGTAGGATGTGATGGCATCCCATTTATAGTATTCTGATTGGCTGGGATAACCTGCATCCATGGGAGTAATCTGGAAGGAGAAAGAAGCAGCTGCCATGGGAAACAATATTACCAAAGCAGCTGTGAAGGGGAGCAATGATACTGAGCAGGATTTCACAGCGGATATGTTTGCAATTAAATATTTTCTGGAAAATATTTAACCCCCACCAAAATGACTGTTTTCATTTTTGATCTAAATTGAAAAAGGAGATTACAGTATTGGGGAACAAGTTAAAAAAACATCCATAGGACCATGCAACAGCAACAGCAGCATAGAAATGGAATGTGTTTAAGTGAAATGTATAGACAGACTGTATTATCTATGTACTCACAGTGAATTTTGAAGTCCTTGTACTGTCTGTCTTCAATTGCTACCATGTACAAAGCAGCCCGGTCTGGAAACATAAGCCCTCCAGGTTTCTGTTGATGAATTGTGTGGAAATGGATCTCTTAATCTATTCACCTGACAAAGACATCATATTTTTGAACTGCACATACAAAAAGCCAGACAAGCATCCCGCCCCCAACCATGCCATTTATTCTCTTCTCCTTCTACTTGTCACCATTATCTTTCCTGTCTTTGTGATCCTTCCGCCCTACAGCAATGTCGTTAGGAAAAATCACATCTACAGAAAAATGTGGCAGCTGTCACTTCAACATAAAGCTTTGATTCTAAAAATGTTAGAACTAATCTTTGGTTTATTCCACTCTCTGTGCACTTTCAAGAGCCTGGCATTCATTCTGACATCAGTAACATAGTGCTGGTTAGAACAGGAGGAGGAGAACTGGCTAAAGAAGGCTCAATCCTTCTGAAAAGGAAGTCAGAAAAGTTGCTTTTTCGGGGCTGCAACTTCCCAGATCCCACAGCTACCCTGGCTGTGGTTCAAGAAGCAACTTGTTGAAGCTCTGAGAAATAAGAGATGCAGGACACCTACCAGCCACTTGTCTCGAGCAAAGATGACAGTTTTCAGCATGGACTCGTAGAAAAGAGAGTAACCCATCCATTCACTGATGATAATGTCTACTTTGTCCACAGGCAATTCAACTTCTTCCACTTTGCCCTTAAATATTGTGATTACTGGAAAAACAACCCAAAATAAATAGAGTTCGCATAGTTCTACCAGAAAAAAACCTTTCCTGACAAGTATTATTCTAAAACTCTTCTAATTTCACATAAGTTAAGGCCTGCCAAAATTAAGTAGTAGGACCATACTATTCTGAAAAAACAAACACACATTGATTTTGTCTAGTTTTGGAGGCAAAGCAACAGATTTTGTCTAGTTCTGGCAGACCAATAGGGTGGTGGGGTAGTGTGGGGAGGCCACAGGTGCAAAATTCTTAGGGGCCAAAAATTTCAAAAGAAACAAAAATAAAGTAGTAATGAGAATTTTTTTAAAAGCACACCTTGCCAATGTTTGAACATTCTACAGTTTTTCAACATGGCAGAGTAAATAAATGCCATGTAACATTTTACAGTTCAATTTCAGTCTCCTCAGCAATGCTGGTTGGTGCATAAACTTGGATTATTGTGATGTTGAATGGTCTGCCTTGGATTCGTATTGACATCATTCTATCATTTTTGAGATTGTATCCCCTTACAGCTTTTCCCACTCTTTTGTTGACTATGAGGGCTACTCCATTCCTTCTACGGGATTCTTGCCCACAGTAGTAGATATGATAATCATCTGAGCTGAATTCGCCCATTCCTGTCCATTTTAGTTCACTGATGCCCAGGATGTCGATGCTTATTCTTGCCATCTCCCGTTTGACCACCTCCAGCTTCCCAAGGTTCATAGATCTTACATTCCAGGTTCCTATGCAGTATTTTTCTTTACAGCAGTGGAAGGCTGGACTGGAAGAAACCCAAGCCGGAATTAAGATTGCCGGAAGAAATATCAACAACCTCCGATATGCAGATGATACCACTCTGATGGCAGAAAGTGAGGAGGAATTAAAGAACCTTGTAATGAGAGTGAAAGAGGAGAGTGCAAAAAACGGTCTGAAACTCAACATCAAAAAAACTAAGATCATGGCCACTGGTCCCATCACCTCCTGGGAAATAGAAGGGGAAGATATGGAGGCAGTGTCAAATTTTATCTTCCTGGGCTCCATGATCACTGCGGATGGAGACAGCAGCCCTGAAATTAAAAGGTGCCTTCTTCTTGGGAGGAAAGCGATGACAAATCTTGACAGCATCTTGAAAAGCAGAGACATCACCTTGCCGACAAAAGTCCGAATAGTCAAAGCTATGGTTTTTCCTGTTGTGATGTATGGAAGTGAGAGCTGGACCATAAAGAAAGCAGACCGCTGAAGAATTGATGCCTTTGAATTGTGGTGCTGGAGGCGGCTCTTGAGAATCCCCTGGACTGCAAGGAGAATAAACCTATCAGTTCTAAAGGAAATCAACCCTGAGTGCTCACTGGAAGGACAGATCCTGAAGCTGAGGCTCCAGTACTTTGGCCATCTCATGAGAAGAAAAGAGTCCTTGGAAAAAACCCTGATGTTAGGAAGGTGTGACGGCAAGAGGAGAAGGGGACGACCGAGGATGAGATGGCTGGACAGTGTCTGCGAAGCAACCAACATGAACCTGACACAACTCCGGGAGGCAGTGTAAGACAGGAGGGCCTGCCGTGCTCTGGTCCATGAGGTCACGAAGAGTCGGACACGACTAAACGACTAAACACACACATACAACATTTTACAGTATTTTTCTCTCTAATTACAACCATACTGTCCTCATGTAATCGATAGCAGTGAATTACATAACGCCTATTAATAGCGTGATTTTCCCATTTGAATATACCAGTACAGTAAATTTTATTTAAAAAATCATAATTAAAAAATTCATAATTTCACCAAGTTGCAAAGGGTACCTAGATAGCCTCACCCCCTTCTGTTGCTAAGTAATGTTCCCACCAATCGAGTATTCAAACACAGAGTTAAATCATGATGCTGTTGCCAGGTCTATGTGTGCCAATAGGAGCTTGATGGTTTGATGAATTATGTTGTTCTGGTGTGCCAACAGGTTAGTTTCCCATTATTTATTTATTTATTTATTTATTTATTTATTTATTTATTTATTTATTTGCTTGCTTGCTTGCTTGCTTGCTTGCTTGCTTGCTTGCTTGCTTGCTTGCTTGCTTTGATCATTGTTTTGCTGATGCGTTAATCATTTCTTGTGGTAAAGTCATTTCTTAGTGGTAAAAGGTAAAGATGGAAAAAGGCATAAAAGTGAATAGATATTTTTCTTAAAAGTTTTGCATAATACCACATATGCCATGTCAGCTGTGATGCAAAATGAAAAAGAATCCGGTGCACATGGCAGGAAGAGGAGGAAGATCAACCAGGGCAACTCGCTAAGCTAGCTGGAAGCCTTGACAGGTTCCTTCTGTACACTGCTGAAAATACCGCAGGCTCACCAGCAGCACCACAGGAGCCTCACGAGCCTGATCCAGTGTCTGTTGATATTCCTGTTGTCGCTTTAGAAGCAGAAACAGCTTTGCTTACTGTATACTTCTGCTCTGCCAAATATTCTGCCAGAGAGTATTGACCGAAAAGTTTTCACTGATGACACTGGTCTACAATTTTTTAGAAGTCATCTGCTTCAGAGATAAAATGTGCTATTTATTATGTATTTTGATGTGCTGAATTCAAATATGAAATTTAAAACAACTGATTGGCTACTGTTTCCAAGATATTTAAATTCTTTACATTTTATGTCAATGTACTGTATATTGTGTAGATAGTAGAGTTTTTATCAGAAATTGTAAACCTAGGTCTTTTCATGTGTTTATGGCTGCTTTACATCATAATATTTCACCTGTCCTGTTAACACTTTAAAAATCAGCAAAAGGATTATATAAATAAAACATATTATAAAACAAAAGGCAAAAAACTATTATGCACATAGTTTAGTCCTATTCAATGTCTACTTGGCGCTTCTTGGTTTGTCTCTTGTATTCATTAAATGGAGCGTCTCTTGTCACTGTCCGGCAATAGTCTGCAAGCATTCATGGTCAGGCTCCATTTGCCCTGATAGCATCACTCAATAGTTGCAATATCCTGGTGAAATTGTTTGCTGTGACCATCACTTCCTGTTCCGCAGTTCGGTGTGAAAAAATCTAGATGAGAGTGCAAAAAAAAAAAATGTATCTTTAGTGACATGTTGCAACCAAGACTTTTGTATGCCTTGAGGAGGTTTTCCACCAACATGTAGTTGTCTGCCTTGTTGTTTCTGAGAAAATTTATTGCCACTAACTGGAAAGCTTTCCATGCTGCCTTTTCCTTGCCATGCAATGCATGGTCAAATGCATCATCTCAAATAAGTTCATGAATCTGAGGACCAACAAAGACACCTTCCTTTATCTTTTCTTCACTTAACCTCGGAAATTTTCCATGGAGGTACTTGAGAGCTGCTTGTGTTTCGTCTGTGGCTTTGACAAATTTTTCATCAGATCCAGCTTAATGTATAAGGATGCTAGCAAAATCTTCCTTGATTCAACTAGTGGTAGATGCTCAATACTTTTCATCCCAGGCTACAATAACTTTCAGAGTGGCCAATCTGTCTGGATGTAGTGGGAATCTCTTGCACAACTATCCCACTTGCAGAGAAAACAGCAGAACTTTGTGTATCCAGTCTGCAGACCAAGTAAGAGAACAACAACCTTCCCATCGCCACGAAGCTGCCACTGACGTTGGCCGTAGTTTATGCACCTCAAAAGTTGTTTCATGTTGTCATACATTTCCTTCATATGGACTGCATGACCAACTGGAATTGATGGCAAAACATTGCCATTATGCACCAAAACAGCTTTAAGACTCTTTGATGAATCAATAAACAGTCTCCACTTATCTGGATTGTGAACAATGTTGAGGCCTGCCATCACACTGTCGATGTTGTTGCAGGCTAAAACTGTTCTGCCTAAAAAGCAAGTACTGTCCAAATCCAGTCATACATTTATTCATAGATCCAGTCAAATAAATACTTTAGTCATTTCTGGTTTAAAATGAGACCCCTTCCTTTTATAACTCACTTATCCTCTGCCATTCCCAAGTCAAAGGTTGTATATACTGATGGAACAACATATCTTGAAAACTAGAGCCAATCAACACTTTTAAGCATAATTTTCATTCCCAGTGACCAAGAATTAATAAAGTTTGACTACATTTATTTTGGAAGCATTTTGGCTGTAAAGCAGTGTAACTATTGCCCTGAAACTGTGGATGAAACTTTGAAAACTGAACTTGTCAAGAGAGAGACAGTGGAACTGCAAAATAAGGATGCTTGTCTGCTGTATCTAGCCAGGCAGACCTTACCCTTCTGTGGTCACTCAGAAGATCTAAGCCAGATGATAACTGGAAATTTCCTAGAAACTTTCAAGTTACTTGCCAAATATGACCCAGTGCTCAATCAGCATTTTCACAAAGTTCAGCAGACATTGTGTTGTGTTCTATCTCTCTCTGCAGAGCCAGAATGAGTTAATCAGCCTTCTCGGTGATCACATTAGAACTGCCACCTTTCCAAAAATTGCAAAGGCCAAGTATTTTGCTATCGTGTTTGATAGCACTCTGAATATTTCTCACACTGGCCAAATGTCACAAGTGATTCGATATGTGCACATTGAGGATACAGAAGTCAGTGTGGCAGAGCCTTTCATTGACTTGATTCAGTTACACGGGAAATCAGCAGGTGTCATTACAAAACAGATTTGTGACAAGTTGCAAGCAGATGGCCTCAAGCTAGAGCACTGTTGCGGCCAAAGATATGACAATGCTGCAACTATAGCTAGACAAATTAGTGGTGTACAGAAATGTATTTTGGATATGAATCCCAAAGCAGTGTTTGTGCCATGTAACAATGACTCACACACTTGCTTGTGTGCATGCAGTTGGTGTTGAGACACAGTCTCTGAATTTCTTTGGCATTGTGTACACATTCTTTTCAAGCTCCAACCATATGTGGGATATTCTTAAAGAACATGTACCAATCCCTTCATGGATTGCTGCCTTGTCGTGGCGAGGGGGCTTGAGTAACTCAGTGAAGCTATGGGCTATGCCGTGCAGGGCCACCCAAGACGG